TGGAGCAGAAAAAGTCGTTGAAGATGACTGTTTTATTTGCCAGCGACCTCACATTCAGCAGAGCAATCTTTGTAGGACCAGTAGCTGAAGGAAAAACTGAGCACGGAGCACAGATCAGCTGTTTCAGATTTTTGGAGTTTGAACCGCGCCTTCTAGGACCAGAGACGCCGCAGCTGTGCGCGCGCCCACGGCGCGACCCAGGCTCGACTACGAGGATCAGCGAATATCCAACAGATGGTCGTCAGGAGATGATGCAGCAGAAGGTCCGGAGTTGGTGAAGTTCCTCTGGAGACGACCAAAACCGCCATGGCTGCGCGCGTGCCCCCTGCGCGAGCTCGCTGCGTGTACCAGGCCCGGCCACCTGTAGCAGGCTGGAGTTGAGTGAATCAGCGAAGCATCCGGATGGACAGTTTAACATCTGATGGTCAGTAGCAGATGACGAAGCAGCAGAGAGCTTGATGCTGGCTTTAATCCTCAAGAGACGGCCGGCACGTCTTCCACGGCGCCTGGAGCGATGTTTTCGGGAGGGCAGAAACGCTGCGCGCTGCAGGTAAACAGGGACATCAACAAGCAGAGGGGGTGGGGGTCCAGAGCCCCGATCAAAGTGGTCGAACAAGGCGGGGTTTGCAGTAGATAACTGTATATTTAAAAGTTGTTGCCCATCATAAACGAGCAGTGAGTTGATGTCACTGAAGAAAAATGACAAACTGAAAAAAAAAAACGATCAAAACAGACAGAGGTGAACGGCAAGCCACCAGCACCGGCGCCATCTTCCCAGAAGTAATCACCAACAGTAGTAAATTTGAAGCTGACGAGTTGGGATTCAACTACTTACCTGCTGACACACACAGGAGGAGGAAGAAAGCAGCAAGCTTGGTGTTCACCTGCGATCACACCAAGATGAGCACTCTAAAGATCAACTATAGTGCAACAGAGGAAGACGCCTACCCCATGAAGGCCATAAAAGCACGCACAACATGATCAGCTGCTCAGCCACAACCAAACCCCACAGGTTGCAAGCCACGTAGTGGGAGCAGGAGGAAAACTGGTGCCATCATGATGATGATGATAATCTTCTTCTTCTTCTTGTTCTTGTTCTTCTTCTTCTTCTAAGGAGGGTGCGTGGAAGAGCAGAGGAAGCGCGAGTGTGAGAATAGTTGTTTATTCTATATCTTTGATTTTTCTTTCTTACTGTTTTTTCACTGGGTGTTAATGTTATTTGTTTAAACTGTGATTTTGTGTTAGTCTTGCCACGTTTTAAGGGTTTTATTTTTGTTTTGGGTGTGGCCGTCAGGTGCACCTGGCTGGCCGGCGTGTAGACGCCATGGTGGTGGAGAGCACTGAACTTCTCCGCGCTGACACGTAAGAAAGTCATCAGGTGAGTGCTGGTTCTTCATGCAGCTTGGAGGAAGTTTGTTTGGCGGTGGGGGAGGTGGTTGGACATGGGTCCATCAAGTCCGCAGCTCGCATGAACGGGGCTGTAGTGATTTTTGTTGATACCGTGGAGAAAGCTCGGCAGCTGGTCGAGGCTGGCATCTCAGTGGGAGACTTGTTTTTGCAGGTGTCACCACTGATGCTGCCAGCCACGAAGATAACTCTGTCTAATGTCCCCCCGTTTGTTAGTGACGAGTTCAGAAAAGTTTTTATCAGCTCCGCCAAATAGCAAAAGTGAAACCAATCCTAGCAAGACCTGACTTGGAGAAATTAATTCATGCTTTTATCACAGCTCGTCTTGACTACTGTAATGCGCTGTATGCAGGCATTAGCCAGACGTCTCTTGCTCGTTTGCAGCTTGTGCAGAACTCTGCTGCTCGCCTGTTAACTCAGGCTCGTAGGCGCGAGCATATTACTCCCATCCTGGCGTCCCTTCATTGGCTCCCTGTGCACTACAGAATTAATTTTAAGCTTTTGCTGTTTGTTTTTAAATGTCTGAACAACCTTGCCCCACCATATCTGTCTGAGCTGCTTCAGCCTTACTGTCCACCCCGATCCCTACGATCAGCTGATCAGCTGCTGCTGACAGTCCCTAAAACTAGGCTGAAGCTCAGAGGTGACAGAGCGTTTGCTGTTGTTGCTCCCAGGTTGTGGAACACTTTACCCTTGAGTGTCAGACAGGCCTCCTCTCTTCCTGTTTTTAAATCTCTTTTAAAGACACACTTTAATTCTTTGGCTTTTAACACGTGATCTTATCTTTTATGGCTTTTTAATACACCTGCTGTGAAACTGGTATGTGAATGGTTTTTATGTTTCTTTGTGTATGCTTTGTATGTTTTTATTGTTTTGTTTGTTTTTATTGTTTTATTGTGCAGCACTTTGGCTACCCTTGTGGTTTTTAAAATGTGCTATATAAATAAAGTTAGTTGATTGGTTGATTGATTGAGTTTCTAATCAAAGAACTGTCCAGACACGGGAAGGTGGTGTCCCCGATCAAAAAAATCTTGACGGGATGTAGATCACCCCTTCTCAAACACGTTGTCTCTCACAGGAGACAACTGTTCATGATCCTGAACAAATGGGGGAAGAGTTTAACATCAGGTTTCATGTCAAACTGGATGATTTTGATTATCTTTTGTTTGCTACTTCAGTGAACATGAAATGTTTTGGATGTGGCCAAGAGGGGCACGTAATTAAAATGTGCCCAAACAGAGCCGGGCCGGTTCCGCCCGCTGCTGTGGAGGACCCCCCCGGATGCCGCCGGTCCCCCTCCCGCCGCTGCTGCGGGGGGGTCCGACACTACCGCTGGTCCCTCTCCCGCCGCTGCTGCGTGGGGGTCCGACGCTGCCGCTGGTCCCCTTCCCGCTGCTGCTGCGGGGGTGTCTGCGGCCCCCGCTGACGGGGTTTGTATTAATGTTGAGTTGCCAGCTGTGGGTAGGAAAACAAGTGTGTGTGGGGATAATAGTAACAGCACGGAGGTGTGTGGTGGAGGGGAGAATAGTGGTGGTATGGACGGTGAGAAGGAGGCTCGGGGGGAGGTGGGGGAGAGAAATGGAGAGCGAGAAGTGCAGGAGGGTGATGAGGGTATAGTGCGTGGTGATCGGGAAGGGAAAGCAGAGGCGGAGGTGGATGGAAAAAAAAAAAAAGGTGAAGGGGGAAAAAAAAGTGAGAGGTCAGGAGCTGGTGTGGAGGGAGAATCAGGGGCGGTTGTAGAGGAGATGGAGCTGGGGGCCCCAACCCAAGTAATGAAACGAGGCAAAAGAAAAAAACACAGACGCTTCAGCATATGCCAGCAAGCAGCTCAGCAAAATCACTGCAGAGAGGAAAGAAAACTCGGACAGCGACAGTGAAGGCTGGGGCTCTGATTTCAGTGAGTCCTCCCATGCCTCACAGGTTGACAAAAGCGAACCCAGATACCCTGTGGAACTATTCCTGACTTTCCTCCAGCAAACCAAAGGGCTGAGAGGAGTCAAACTAGAAAGCCATTTCCCAAATTTGAGAACTTTCTACTTCTCAGCCAGATATCATATCGGGCACAAGAAGGAATCAGGTTTCACTGATCAGCAAGTTTACAGACTAAAGAAATTAATGAGCACAGCACGAAAACAATTCTGAACAATATGACATACATCTGCGTTTTAATAATTTTTATAGTATTTTGGTACATGCTTTTTAACCTTTTACCCATGGTTACTTTTAAAATAGCGTCTTTGAATATAAATTGGGCAAGAGAAGGTTTGAAGCGTGAACTAATCTATCAAACCATGAACTATAAAAAGATTAATGTACTCTTTCTACAAGAGACACACAGTGATGCACTCAATGAAGCAGAATGGCGCAGGGAGTGGAATGGAGAGATCATCTTGAGCCACGGCACATCTAAGAGTGCAGGCGTTTTGCAAAGGCCTTCACTCCCAGCCATGTAGAAACACATCACATTGTTCAGAGTAGATGCCTTTTAGTCAAAACTTGTTACGATCATTTTAATGTAATTTTTATCAACATTTACGCTCCCACCGCCAATGCAGAGAAAAAAAAGTTTTTTAGAAGAAATTGGGGAGAGGTTGGGAGATTTTGGGCCTGAGGACTATGTTTTTATAGGTGGGGATTTTAATTGCACTGAAAACGAATCTCTGGACCGCAATCATGCAGAGCCTCATCCGGCAGCCCAGCGTGTCCTGAGACAGCTGATCGCGTCTCACGGCCTGGTGGACGTATGGAGAAGGATGCACGCAGGCTCCAGGCAGTACACGTGGTCCCACCTTAAAGAAAATCGCATTTCTTTAGCTCGCCTCGATCGCTTCTATTGTTTTAAACATCATTTTAATGTTTTTAAAGTTTGTCAGATTTTACCAGTAGCTTTTACAGACCATTCGCTGATTTTAGGTAGTGTTTTTATTGGAAACATTTTACCTAAGAGCGCCTACTGGCATTTTAACTCAGTTTTAACTTATGACCGTAGTTTTAGAGAGATTCTGAGTTATTTTATGGAGGGTTTTAGACAGAGGAAGTGTGATTTTACGTGTTTGCAGCAATGGTGGGACCAGGATAAAGTTGAAATAAAACTACTGTGTCAGCAGCACACTCTCAACGTCACTCGCAACATCACCAGATCTATCAAGGATCTGGAGATTGATATAGTGGAGCTAGAATGACTCAGTGAATCCACAGGAAACCGAGAGCACTTTGAAGCTCTCAAAGCGAAAAGGTTAGCTTTAACCCACCTGCTGGACACGAAGGTCCAGGGCGTGTTGGTCAGGTCCCGGATGCAGAACATCACAGAGATGGATGCTCCCTCTAGCTTTTTCTTTAGCTTGGAGAGGAAAAACGGGCAGAGTAAAGTGATCCACTCTCTGTTGTCAGACACTGGGCAACAGCTGAGTGAGCCAGGCCAGATCAGGAGGAGGGCTGTGGAGTTCTACTCCTCGTTATTCCAGAGTGAATACGAGAGAGATGATGAACTGTTCGGTGAGTTCTGCAGTGGACTACCCCAGGTCTTTGAGGAGACCAACGCCCACCTGGAGCGCACCCTGGGGCTTCACGAGCTCCACACAGCCCTCTAGAACATGCGAGGCCAGAGGGCACCCAGCATAGATGGACTCACCGTAGAATTTTATAAAGCATACTGGGACATCCTGGCAGAAGATCTACTGGGTGTCCTCAGGGAAAGCCTAAGCACTGGCTCACTCCCACTATCGTGCCGCAGAGCGGTCATCACTCTCCTGCCCAAAAAAGGGAACCTACAGGAGATGAAAAACTGGCGCCCGGTATCCCTGCTCTGCACTGACTATAAAATCCTCTCCAAGGTCCTGGCTACCAGAATGAGAGAGGCTATGGAGCAGGTCATCCACCGGGACCAGACATATTGCGTCCCCAGCAGGTCCATGGTGGATAACATCTACCTGATTCGAGACGTTTTGGAAGTCTCCAGTTCATTAGGCCTGAACACAGCCTTGGTCTCACTTGACCAAGAAAAGGCTTTTGACCGCGTTGAACACAACTTCCTCTGGGAAACCATGAGGGAGTTCGGGTTCAGCGCTGGTTTTATAGCCAAGATCCAGGTGCTGTACAGTGGCGATGAGAGTGTGCTGAAAATCAACGGTAGCCTGTGCGCTCCTTTTAGAGTGTGTAGAGGTGTACGGCAGGGCTGTGCGCTCTCAGGGATGCTCTACGCGCTCTCCCTAGAACCCCTCCTCCGAAAGATCCAATCAAGTGTCCATGGTTTTACTTTACCCAGTTTTAACAACAATATAGTTTTATCCGCCTACGCTGACGACGTTGCTGTTTTTATGAGAAACCAACAGGACGTAGACATTTTAAAAAAGTTTACTGAGAATTTCTCCACCCTGTCTAACGCGAGGGTGAACTGGGGAAAGAGCACAGCCCTCGCCGTGGGTGAGTGGCCTGAAGGGCTCCCAGTTCTCCCTCAAATCCTCCTGTGGAAGAAAGATGGTTTTAAATACCTCGGTATCTACCTGGGAGATAAGGATGTGATAAAGAAAAACTGGGAAAACGTCAAAGAAAAGATTGGAAAAAAACTGCAAAAATGGAAATGGCTGCACTCCCAGATGTCCTACAGAGGCAGAGTGCTAGTTTTAAATAACCTGGTCGCATCACAGTTGTGGCACAAACTGGCTGTTCTAGACCCACCTCCAGACCTGTTAGTACAGTCTGAGATGGTGGAGTTCTTTTGGAACGGTCGACATTGGGTGCCACAGTCGGTCTTGTTTCTACCGAGAGAGGAGGGGGGACAGGGCCTTGTCCACCTGGCCAGTAGGACGGCCACTTTTAGGATTCAGTTTCTACAAAAATATCTGGCATGACCTGCTGACACAGTGTAGAGAGACGTGGCCAGCTGCATCCTGAGACGCGTGAGCGGGTTGGAGCTGGATGCGGCTCTGTTTCTAACTGACATTGGCCGTCTACAGATTAAGGGATTGCCCCAGTTTTATCAGAGTGTTTTTAAATTAGTTTCTTTTTTTAAACTCAACAGAACAAAAACTAATAAATCTCTGCATTGGCTTTTAGAAGAACCGTTAGTCTGTGGAGCGAGACTGGACGTCTCTGACAGCACTGTGCCAGGGCTGTCGACAGTGCTTTGCAGGTCTGGGACGGTGACCCTGAGGTGACCGGTGGAGACGGCCGGACCAGACTTCTCCAGCGTCCAGAAGGTGGCCTCGTTGCTCGGGGTCCGATCTGCCAGACTGGTGCGGCGCTTCTTAGACCTGTTGAGGGAGAGGTTGACAGCTGGGGAGGAGCGTCTCCTGCAGCTGTGGTCCACGGAAGTTTCGCCTGCCTGATGCAACGGACCCGTTTCCAGACACCCACCTGGATCCTGACCTCGGGGACAGCAGTGGCCCCCTGCTTCGTGCCACAGGTCTAAAGGTGGAATTATGCAGATCGGGTCCAAAAGTACTGTACAGAATCTGTGTGAAGGTACTGAACAAGAGAAATCTGCACAACAGAGCTGTCAGTGTCTGGGAAAGCAAGTTCAGAGGGCAGAAGCCCCAGTGGAGGACACTCTACAAACCTCCAATTAAAAAACGGACTGGTGACCTTCAATGGAGGATCCTTCATGGCGCCATTGCTACCAACTCTTTTTTATCTGTCATCAGTCCCGGAGCTTTAAAAGAGTGCCCTTTTTGCAGTTTGTTAGAGAATGTTTTTCACATTTTTATGGATTGTGCATAACTAACAGTTTTTTTTAGCCTCTTAACAAAGATTTTTAACCTTTTTGACACAGTCTTTACCCAATCTGTTTTTATTAATGGTGTATTTTACAGTAAAGCCACTAAGGACAAGTCCCAAATTTTAAACTTTTTAATCGCCGAGGCAAAGATGGCAATTTATTTGTCTCGCAGGGACAGACTGCAGGATGGACCTCACCTCGATGCTGTGTCTTTGTGGAGGTGCAACGTCAGGTCTAGGTTGGCCTTGGAGTTTCACTTCCACAGGGACACAGGGGATGTGGAAAGGTTTGTGAAACTGTGGGGATTTAAAAAAGTCTTATGCACCATTTCTGATCAGAAGGAACTAAAATACAACAAGCTTTTAATGTAAACTATTTTTTTCTTTAAACTTGTCCTGATCATGCTTTTAATACGGTTTCTAATATTTTTTTGTTAACTGTGAATAAAGTTTTGTTAAAAAAAAAAAAAATCTTCTTTTTCTTCTTCTTCTTTTTCTTTTTATTATTATTCTTATTGTTATTATCAGTTATAATATTTCCGTTATCTTTTATTATTGGAAAAATAATAATCTCTTGAATTCCCAGACATTTTTTTAATATTATTCCAAACCCTGGTTATTGGAGTATTTTCCCCCAGTTAGTCACAATATTTTCTCCAATGATCCCTCTTAGCATTTCTGATAATTTATCTAACTTCTGCTTGTTTCCTTTTATAATTTATCAGATTCTGGAAACTTAATAAAAAGTCCTTTTCAAAGTTTTAAAAGCCTTATTACGCTGTTTAAATGTTGCTGTGCATTCTGGTGTCCACCATGGTACTAACTTCTTCTTTTTGAGTCCATTACTTTTAGGAATAGAGCTTTTGGCTGTATCAATTATACATTTACTAATTTCCAAGTTTAATTCATTTACCGTTTTATTTGTATCTATATTTTTCATATTAATCTCAGTCATCATTTTAAATTTGTTCCAGTCTGCCTTTTCAAACTTCCATCTCCCCTCAATCTTTATTTGGCCTTGTTCTGTATCTATTCCAGTGTTGGTAAAAATTGGATAATGATCACTACCTATTGTGCTTTCTTTGAATATTGTCCAGCTGCTAATGTCAGCAAGAGATTGTGATATCAGTTTTAAATCAATTGCAGATTCCTTTCCTTTTACAAAATCCACCCGAGTGCCTAATCCATTATTTAGGATCACCAGTTCCTTTTCATCAATTACTTCTTCTAAAATCCCCCGTTATAATCATCTTGATTACCCGATAATGTGCTGTGTGCATTAAAGTCCACACACCAAACTATTTTCCCTCTCCAGTGTTCTAGAATTGATTCAAGTTTTGCTTTTTCTAATTGTTTGCATGCATTATAGTAATTTATGATTTTAACATTACCTTCATTTGTCCAAACTTATATAACAGTGACTTCTAATTCTGGTGTTGAATGAATTTGGATAAACTTCAGGTTTTGTTTTATGAATATAGCACATCCTCCTCCACTGCCATTAATCCTATCTGCGTATGACTGAATATCCATGAATGCTAAACAGTAATGAAGGTTTGAGCCATGTTTCTTGAATGTATATAATATTTGGTTTTGTATTTAATGTATTTATGAAGCCTTTAAATTCCTGACCATTTGCTATGAGACTGCGGGCATTCCATTGTAATGTTTGAATTATGTGATGTTTTGAGAAGCCTCAGCCTCAGATGACCCTTCTCCGTGTCTAAGTTCATCATGGATTTTTTCCCAAGATAAATCTTTCACATTAAAAAACTTTGCAGCTGCCTTTACAATAATCTTTATTTTTTTCAGTTTCAGTTTTTGCCTGTTCTGAACAGTTTATGATGTATGCCAGGAATGGAATCGGTTTGTCCAGTGTAACATTACCTTGGCTATTATCTGTTAGTCTCCCCCCCCCCCCCCCCCCATGTCAATTGTTTTCGGAACATTTTCATTACGGTTTACAACTTTCACTGCTTCTTCATATGAAATTTTCTTATCTATTTTAATTTGTTGAACTTCAGCTGCCTTTTTTCTTATCTTAAAATCCTGCATATGCTGCAGTATGACTTCCTCCACAGTTACATCTAACAGGATTGTTCCCACTTCCCCATAAGGATGTTCACCCCCACATCTACTGCATTCACGTTTTCCTTTACAAACATTAGCAATATGTCCATATCTTTGGCATTTATAGCATCTGAGAGGTGGTGGAACATAGACTTTCACATTAAAGCTCATGCATCCTATCGTAATTTTCTCAGGTAGAACTTTATTTTTGAACTCCAGTAACACAGACGTACTGTCTAATTTTTCTCCATTCCTGAAGGCCTGTAGTCTTTTAATGCCTGTAATGTCTCCTCCTCGTATTACTTTCTTTAACTCATCCAGATTTTCTCCTACAGGGATCCCTGTGATTACTCCTCTTTCTTCCCCAACAATCTTTCTTTCTATCACCTCCTTTTTACACACCATTTGTAATCAGTGCTTTGTTCTTTTGTTCAGCATTTTTACAAATAATAAGCAGATTTCCATCCCTTAGGACTTTTAACTAACGCTACATCCCCATTTTGCTTTTTTTTAATCCATTTGACAAACTGATAGGACTTATTCCCATCATATCCTGTCCTGCTTTAAATTTTAGTATAATCTTGGCATCTTCCATCATTATTTTCTTTCTTATTTCAGTTCTTTATTACTCTCACTCGAGAGCTCTTTTACCAGTTGTTCCTTTTATAAAATTTTCTTTTCCTCCTTTCTTCTTATTCTCTACCCTAGACCATCCTATATCCATATCATCATCCTCCGAAAGCCCACCACTACTACTAGCCATCTTAATCCACTCACAATCCAGATAATGCCAAAAACCACCTTTAAATTCAGCTTTTTACTTGCCAACTGTCGTTTCTGCGTCCTGCTATCGCGCTTGCGCCTCGTAGCCCTCCAGCCTGAGTCTGGACGATGAACTAACAAACCTCTCTGAGTCAAATGTTGTTGTCGTTGTTGTTGTCGTTGTTGTTGTTTTTTTTATTGGCGGTTGGCAAAAAACGTTGAGGTTGCATTACTGCCACCTACCGGTATGGAGTGTGGCTCAAAATGTCTCTTTTATTCTATACAAATGTTATATTCTATTAATCACCTTTGTTTTCCAGAAAAATCTTAACTAAAATCTGAGTACTTTTACTATCTGAATTCCCCTGTAGTATATTTATTAAATTAAGCTTTTCTTTATTTTCCCTAAATTCTTCCAACATTAATCTCCTTTCTATGAGATCTTCTACATACTAAAATAATATGTTCTATTATCTCGTTTTCTCCACAATATTGACAGTTTCCTGTATTATGTTGCTGTATTCTGTATAGCGAACTGTTATGGTAAATGGATTGTACTTATATAGCGCCTTTCTATCTTA